GCTGCCCCTCACTCCTCCCAGTTTCCTCCGACAGAGGCTCCGTTGCAGACGCTTCACATGGACGTGTGGGGCCCTGCCCGCGTCCGTGGACTCGGTCACGAGCGCTACTTCCTGTTGGTGGTTGACGACTACTCGCGTTACACCACAGTCTTCCCCTTGCGCAGCAAGGGTGATGTCACTGAGGTGCTGATCGACTGGATCCGCGCAGCTCGTCTCCAGCTCAGGCAGAGCTTTGGCTCGGACTTTCCTGTGTTGCGTCTGCACTCGGACAGAGGCGGAGAGTTCTCCTCTGGCCTTCTGAGAGCCTTCTGTCGTGCGCGAGGCATCCGCCAGACCTTCACGCTTCCGGACTCACCGCAGCAAAATGGGATTGCAGAGCGCCGCATTGGCATGGTCATGGACGTCGCTCGTACGTCTATGATGCATGCGGCTGCCCCCCATTTTCTGTGGCCGTTTGCAGTCAGGTACGCGGCGCATCAGATCAACCTCCACCCCAGGGTCTCCAGGCCGGAGACCTCCCCAACCCTGCTGTGGACGGGGAAGGTTGGCGATGCGTCGGCGTTCCGGGTCTGGGGATCTCGGGCGTTTGTCCGCGACTTGTCTGCGGACAAGCTGTCCCCTCGCGCTGCTCCCTGCGTCTTCCTGGGGTTCCCCCCTGACACCCATGGGTGGCAGTTCTACCATCCCACCTCTCGACGTGTTCTTTCCTCCCAGGACGTCACGTTCGACGAGTCGGTACCCTACTACCGCCTCTTCCCCTACCGCACTCCGTCCCTCCCCCCGCCCCCGCTCTTCTTGGTACCAGGTCCCCCCACGGTAGACCCCCTCCCCCCTCAGGGTCCTGCCCCTTCAGGTGTGTCCCAGGTAGACGCGGTCGAGCCTGTCGAGGTCACTGGTGACTCTGGTGCTGCTGGGGGTGCTGAGCCTGGGGGTGCGGAGTCTGGAGGTGTTGAGCCTGGGGGTGCTGAGCCTGGGGGTGCTGAGCCTGGGGGTACTGAGTCTGGGGGTGCTGAGCCTGAGGGTGCTGGGCCTGGGGGTGCTGAGCCTGGGGGTGCTGAGACTGGGGGTGCTCCGCCTGGAGGTGCTTTGCCTGAGGGTGCTGAGCCTGGAGGTTCTTCGCCTGGAGGTTCTCCGCCTGGAGGTGCTTCGTCTCGCCGAGAGCCACTCTCCCCACAGGAGCTGCGTGAGTGGTTTGCCCGGCGCTGGAGGCGTGCTGCTGGTGCTGGAGGTTCTTCGACTGCAGAGGGTGCTGCTGCCGCGCGTCCCGGAGGTGCTCGTGCTGTGGGTGCTGGAGCTGCTGGGCCTGAGGGTTCTCCTGGAGCTGGTGCTGCTGAGGGTGTTGGCGCTGAGACTACTGCTGGCGGTCCGACTGGCAGTGCTCCTGGTGCTGCTGGGGGTTCTGGAGCTACTGGAGGTGCTACTGGAGGTGCTGCTGGAGGTGCTGCTGGAGCGGGTACTCCTGCTGGGGGTACTGGTGCTGTCCCTGCTGTTTCTGGCGTCGCCACGCGGCCCCGACCGTACTTCGTTCCGCTCCTGCAGCAGGTTCTTGGTCTTACACCTTCTCCTGGTCCTCCTCCTCCTCCCTTAGAGGGTCCACAGCCTGTCCAGTCCCGGTCACAGCTACAGCCTGCCTCCCCTTTGCCTGCTCCTTCTCCCTACGCTGGTCCGACTGGAGGTCTTAATGAGCGTCGTGAGCCTGCGTCTCGTCCTGCGTCGCCTGTTCGTCCTGCACGCACTAGTGGTCGCGGTTCGCATTAGCGTCCTCCTCCTGTCCCTTGCACGCACCGGATGTCTTTGCGTCCGTCCACTGCTCCTCTGCGTGCCCCTTTGCCTTCTCCTCCTTCTTCCTCTCTTCCTGCTCTTGCCGACCTGAAGTCGGACTCTCTTCATGCTGCCAGTCCTACTGTCACGGGTCTCCTTGCTACAGCTGTCACTGACCCTTCTTTCGAGTCTTCTGCTGCGTCTGCCCTTGTCACTGAGCTCGTCGACTTTGCTGCGCGCTATCGTCTACGCTGCTAGTCTTGTCGCTGAGTCTGAGTCTGCCTGTCCTCCGTCCGTCGGGGGTGAGTGTGCCCTTGGCACGGACGTCCTTGAGGACAGGCAGGAGGAGTTCCAGTGTCTGGCCGCCGCTTCACCTCATCTCGCGTCTGTACTGCTCGCCCCTGAGGGAGACCCGAATGCACTAGACATCCCGACTCCGCGCTCTTACGCGGAGGCGATAGAGGGTCCCTACTCCTCTTAGTGGCAGGCAGCTATGGATGCAGAGATGGCTTCCTGGAAGTCCACAGGCACCTACGTTGACGCTGTTCCCCCTCCTGGGGCGAACATCGTCAGTGGCATGTGGATCTTCAGGGTGAAGCGGCCGCCGGGTTCTCCGCCTGTCTTCAAGGCGCGTGACGTGGCTCGTGGCTTTAGTCAGCGGCAGGGAGTTGACTACTTTCAGACCTTCTCCCCCACCCCGAAGATGACCACTCTTCGGGTACTGCTGCACGTTGCTGCTCACCGTGACTACGAGCTGCACTCTCTCGACTTCAGCACTGCTTTCTTGCAGGGCAGCCTGCACGAGGAGATCTGGCTGCGTCGCCCACCTGGCTTCACTGGGTCTTTCCCTCCTGGTACCCAGTGGAGTCTCCGGCATCCAGTCTACGGTCTCCGCCAGGCGCCACGTGAGTGGCACGACACACTGAGGACTACGCTGGCGGCACTTGGGTTTGCTCCTTCTACTGCCGACCCGTCGCTGTTTCTGCGCACCGACACCTCTCTGCCGCCGTTCTACATCCTCGTGTACGTCGACGACTTGGTCTTTGCCACAGCTGACACTGCTGGACTCGCCTACGTGAAGTCCGAGCTGCTGAAGAGACACACGTGCACTGACCTGGGTGAACTGCGCAGCTACCTTGGCTTGCAGATCACCCGGGACAGAGCACGCCGCACCATTACCCTGACTCAGTCACACATGGTGCAGCAGGTCCTTCAGCACTTCGGCTTCACGTACTCCTCGCCTCAGGCCACTCCTCTGCCTACTCGCCACTCGCTCTCAGCTCTGCCTTCGGATGAGTCCGTAGAGTCGAGTGGTCCGTATGCAGAGCTTGTTGGCTGCCTCATGTACCTGATGACCTGCACACGACCTGACCTTGCATACCCTCTTAGCATTCTTGCACGCTATGTTGCTCCTGGTAGACACAGACCAGAGCACATGGCTGCAGCGAAGAGGGTGTTGCGCTACTTGTGCAGTACAACGGGCATGGGGCTAGTGCTTGGAGGGCGCAGTCCAGTGGTCCTCACTGGGCACGCGGACGCTTCTTGGGCTGACGACCAGGCTACGCAGCGGTCGTCCCAGGGTTACACCTTCAGCCTTGGTTCCGGCTCTGTTTCGTGGCGGGCTACCCGCTCGTCTTCTGTTCTCGGCTCCAGTTGTGAGGCTGAGATCTACGCCGGGGCTATGGCTGCTCAGGAGCTTCGCTGGCTCACCTACCTGCTGACCGACCTTGGAGAGCCGCCTCGTTCTCCTCCAGTCCTGTACGTAGACAACAAGGCCATGCTGGCCTTGTGTCGAGAGCAGCGACTGGAGCACAGGACAAAGCACATTGCTCTCCGCTACTTTCTTGCTCGTGAGCTACAACAGCGTGGACAGTTGCGACTTGCGTACGTGGCCTCTGAGGCCAACACTGCTGATGTCTTCACCAAGGCACTTGCGCCTTGTGATCATCAGCGTTGCTGCACGCAGCTGCGTCTTGTGCCTGTCTTGCCTCACTTGCTCACTTCTTGACCTTGCTTGTACCTTCACTTATATATACTCTTGCTCTTGCTTGCTTGAATCTTGTATATCTCTATATATGATACTGCATGTGAACTGGCCTTGTGGCCCTTGAACTTGTGCTCGGAATGTGTGGTGACTTTGTGATCCACCCTGAGCTTTGCTTTGCTTTGCGTGACTGGTCTTGTGACTGGTTTCGTCGACGTCCTCTTATCTTTCACATGGTATAGAGCGGGTCCTTCCTAAGGACCGTTTTTTTAGGGCCCACCGAAGCGCGCCCCGAGGCGCGCATTTTTTTTTCGCGACCCTTCGGGTCGCCATTACTCTCGCGGCCCCGCTGTCCCTCTGACGCGGCCCCGCCACCCCTGCTTGACGCGGCCCCGCCGCCTCCTCTGCAGCGGCTCCGCCGCCTCCTCTGACGCGGCCCCGCCGCCGGCTCTGACGCGGCCCCGCCGCCCGCTGATCGCGGCCCGCCGCTGGCCCTGACGCGGCCCCGCCGCCGGCTCTTAGCCGGCCTCGCCGCCGGCTCCAACGCGGCCCCGCCGCCTGCCTCGACGAGGCCCCGCCGCCGGCTCTGACGCGGCCCCGCTGCCGCCTCCTGATCGCGGCCCTGCCCCGGCTCTCTCGCGGCCTCGCCGCCGGCCCTGACGCGGCCCCGCCCCGGCTCTCACGCGGCCCCGCCGCCGGCTCTCTTGCGGCCCCGCCGCCGGCTCTCTTGCGGCCCCGCCCCGGCTCTCTTACGGCCCCGCCGCCGGCCCTGACGCGGCCCCTGCCTCGGCTCTCAGGCGGCCCCGCCGCCGGCTCTCTTGCGGCCCTGCCGCCAGCTCTGAAGCGGCCCCGCCCCTGCTGTCACGAGGCCCCTGCCCCGGCTCTCAAGCAGCCCCGCCGCCGGCCCTCCCGCGGCCCTGCCGCCGGCTCTGACGCGGCCCCGCCCCGGTTCTTTCACGCGGCCCTGCCGCCCCACCTGCAGCAGCCGAGGCGCCCTGTCGCCGAGCCCCCCCGGTAGCCGAGCCGCCCTGCCCCCGAGCCGCCCTGCCGCCGAGCCGCTCGGGAGCCGAGCCGCCCTGCACCCGAGCCGCCCTGCCGCCGAGCCGCCCGGGAGCCGAGCCGCTGTGCACCCGAGCCGCCCGGTCGCCGAGCCGCCTTTCTGCAGAGCTGCACGACCTGCCCTGCCTGGTGAGCACAGTCCCACTGCCACTGCGAGCTCTTTCCCTACTGCTTGCACTGCTTCGCTGTCGTCGCCATGGCTACCCCTAGTGTCCTAGCTTTTGACGCTGAGGGTCGCGCCATTGATTTTGAGGTCTGGTTAGACGACCTGCAGCTGTTCTTACAGTGCGACAGAGCAGACAGCCTTTCTCTCTTTGACCTCACCTCTGGCGCCTCTCCTGCTCCTGCTGCTGATGCTGATCCCACTGTCCGCTCTCAGTGGGCCACCCGCGATGCTGCTGCACGTCTTGCTGTGCGTCGCCACCTCCCTACCTCTGAGCGTGCGCACTTTAGTCAGTACAAGAGTGCTCAGACCTTGTACGACGCTGTAGTTGCGCGCTACTCCTCCCCTGCCACTGCTGCACTGAGCCGTCTCATGCTTCCCTACCTCTTTCCTGACCTCTCTGCCTTTCCCACTGTCGCTGACCTCATTACGCACCTCCGCACTAGTGACACTCGCTACCGCGCCGCCCTTCCTGCTGAGTTCTGCGCTAAGAACCCCCCCCCCATGTACATCACTCTCTACTACGTAGTCGCGCGCCTCCCTGACTCCCTTCGCGTAGTCAGGGACCACTTTCTCGCTGTCTGTCCCACCACCCTCACCGTCGACGTCCTCGAGAAGGCCCTCCTCGCGGCGGAGAAGAGCATCGTCGCTGTAGGAGCTTCTCGTGGTGACCCTCGCACCCCCATCTTTGAGGGGTGCTCTCCTTCCCCCTTGCTGCCCTCTGTTGCCTCTGCTGCTGCTGCCGACCTGCTTGGTCTTGAGTCGGTCGGCGCGGCGTCTGCCCCTAGTGGGAGACGTCGCTCTAGCAAGGGCAAGGGGGGCAAGGGTGCAGGTGGAGCTGGAGGGGGCGGTGGCGGTGGCGGCGGTGGCGGCGGAGGGAGTGGGGGTGGCGGCGGGAGTAGTGGCGGGGGTGGTGGTGGTGGTGGCAGCAGCGGCGGCGACGGTGGTGGTGGTGGCGGAGGTGGTGGTGGTGGCAGCGGCGGAGGTGGAGGCGGCGGAGGTGGAGGCGGTGGAGGCGGCAGCGGAGGAGGCGGTGGTGGTGGAGGGGGTGGAGCTGGTCGGGGTGGTGCCCAGCAGCGTAGCGGCGGTGGTGGTGGCCAGCGCTCGCAGCGGCAGCAGCAGCAGCGCTCGCGGGACATCCCTCCGCCTCAGCAGCTTCGTGAGTGGTACGCTGGGCGTCAGAGGGGTGGGGGTACTGGTCCCTGCACCTACGTTCTTCGTTCCGGCGACCGCGCGGGTGAGCAGTGTGGGGGTGCCCACGCCGCCCAGCGCTGCTTTGGCCGCCTGACGGACGCTTGGCGTCAGCAGTTCCCTGGGGCTAGTGAGATCCCTCGCTGGGATGAGCTTCTTAGGGCTGGTGTAGCGATCTTTGATCTTGATTTTGATGCTATCCTTGCTGCTATGTATGCTGTGACTTATAGTGAGGAGAATGAGGGTTACCGGTGTTTCCAGCCCGACCCGGGCATTGGTACTGCTGCGCTAGGTGCTTGTGAGGCTGCTGCCCTAGGTGCCAGTGCGTCTGCGCTCTCACGTACTGGTGAGACTGCGCTCTCAGGTACTGCGTCGTCCTCGTCCTCCCTCACTTTCACACTTGACTCCGGGGCTTCTCGCTCCTTCTTTCGAGACCGCACTACACTTACGCCGCTCGGCCGGCCGGTTGCAGTCTCCCTTGCTGACCCCTCTGGGGGTCCTGTCCTGTCTCACTTCTCCACTATCCTCCCGTGTCCGGCTGCCCCTTCGGGCACCCTGTCTGGTCTGTACCTTCCCTCGTTCTCTACGAACTTGGTGAGTGGCGCGGACCTGCAGGATGTGGGGGTTCACCAGTTCACTCCTGCGAGTCAGCGGGTGACCCACTGCACGGAGGCACGCACAGGCCGACACCTGGCCACGTTCTCGCGTCGGCCGGGGTCGAGTCTCTACACCCTGACCGTTGAGTCTCCTCCTGTCCCTGCGTCTGGTCAGGTGGCTGCGTCAGGTCAGGTGCTTGCTGCTACGTCCCGGTCAGGTCCTGAGTCTGCCCCCTGTTCTTGTCGCCTCCTGTCTCACGAGACTCTCCTGTGGCACCACCGTCTTGGCCACCCCTCCTTGCCCCGTCTTCGGAGCATGGCTTCCCGTGTCCTTGTCTCTGGTCTTCCCCAGTCTCTCCCTCCTCTCCCCTCCGGGCCAGGACCTTCCTGTGTCCCCTGTGTCGAGGGTCGCCTCCGGGCTACTCCTCACTCCTCCCACTTCCCCCCGACAGAGGCTCCCCTGCAGACGCTTCACATGGACGTGTGGGGCCCAGCCCCCGTCCGTGGGCAGGGTCACGAGCACTACTTCCTGTTGGTGGTTGACGACTACTCGCGTTAAACCACAGTCCTCCCCTTGCGCAGCAAGGGTGCGGTTACTGAGGTGCTGATCGACTGGATCCGCGAGGCTCGTCTCCAGCTCAGGAAGAGCTTCGGCTCGGACTTTCCTGTTCTGCGTCTGCACTCGGACAGAGGCGGAGAGTTCTCTTCTCGCCTTCTGCGAGACTACTGTCGTGCACGGGGGATCCGCCAGACCTTCACGCTTCCGGACTCACCACAGCAAAATGGGATTGCTGAGCGCCGCATTGGCATGGTCATGGATGTCGCTCGTACGTCCATGATGCATGCGGCTGCCCCCCATTTTCTGTGGCCGTTTGCGGTGAGGTACGCGGCGCATCAGCTCAACCTTCACCCCCGGGTCTCTCGGCCTGCGATGTCCCCAGCCTTGCTGTGGACGGGGAAGGTTGGCGATGCGTCTGTGTTCCGTGTCTGGGGATCTCGGGCGTTTGTCCGCGACTTGTCTGCGGACAAGCTGTCCCCTCGTGCTGCTCCCTGTGTCTTCCTTGGCTTCCCCACTGACGCCCCAGGGTGGCAGTTTTACCACCCCTCCTCTCGTCGTGTTCTGTCCTCCCAGGACGTCACGTTCGACGAGTCAGTCCCCTTCTACCGTCTCTTCCCCTACCGCACTCCTTCCCTCCCCCCTCCCCCGGACTTCCTTGTGCCGGTTCCCCCCCCGGTAGACCCCCTCCCCCCTCAGGTTCCTGCCCCCTCAGGTGTGTCCCAGGTAGACGCCGTTGACCCGGTCGAGGTTACTGGTGACTCTGGCGCTGCTGCGGGTGCTGAGCCTGGGGGTGCTGACTCTGGGGGTGCTGTGCGCGGGGGTGCTGAGCCTGGGGGTGCTACTGCTGGGGGTGCTGGGCCTGAGGGTGCTACTGCGGAGGGTACGGAGCCTGGGGGTGCTGAGCCGGGGGGTGCGGTGCCTGGAGGTGCTGGGTCTGGGGGTGCTGGTTCGGGAGCTGCTGAGCGTGGGGGTGCTGAGCTGGGAGCTGCTGAGCCTGGGGGTGCTGCGTCTGGAGCTGCTGAGCCTGGGGTTTCTCCTGCTGCTGCGTCTCGCCGGGAGCCCCTCTCTCCACAGGAGCTGCGCGAGTGGTTCGCTCGCCGCTGGAGGCGTGCTGCTCAGTCTGGAGGTGCTGCTGGAGCTGGAGCTGGAGCTTCCTCGACCGTCGAGGGTGCGGGTGCTGCCGGTCCCGGAGCTGCTGGACCTGCGGGTCCTCCTGGAGCTGGAGCTGCTGAGGGCGTTGGTGCTGAGCCTACTGCTGTTGGTCCTGCCGCAGGAGGTGTGGGTGGCGCTGGTGCTGTCGCTGAGGGTGGTGGTGCTGTCCCTGCTGAGTCTGGAGCTGCCGCGCGGCCTCGGCCGTACTTCGTTCCGCTCCTGCAGCAGGTTCTTGGTCTTTCTCCTCCAGTAGAGGGTCCACCGCCTGTCCAGTCGCAGTCCCTGCTGGAGCCTTCCTCTCCACTGCCTGCTCCCTCTCCTTACACTGGTCCTACTGGAGGTCTTGCTGAGCGTCGTGAGCCTGCGTCTCGTCCCGCGTCGCCTGTTCGTGCTGCCCGCGCTAGTGGTCGCAGTTCGCGTCAGCGTCCTCCTCCTGTCCCTGGCACGCACCGGATGTCTTTGCGTCCGTCCACTACTCCTCTGCGTGCCCCTTTGCCTTCTCCTCCTGAGTCCTCTCTTCCTGCGCTTGCCGACCCTGAGTCGGACTCTCTTCGTGCTGCCAGTCCTACTGTCACGCGTCTGCTTGCTACTGTCGTCACTGACCCCTCTTTTGAGTCCACTGCTGCGTCTGCTCTAGTCGCTGAGCTCGTCGAATTTGCTGCTCGCTGTCGTCTCGACTACGCTGCTAGTCTTGTTGCTGAGTCTGCGTCTGTCTGTCCTCCGTACGTCGGGGGTGAGTGTGCTCTTGGCACGGACGTCCTAGAGGACAGGCAGGAGGAGTTCCAGTGTCTAGCGGCTGCTTCACCTCATCTCGCGTCTGTACTGCTTGCCCCTGAGGGAGACCCGGATGCACTAGACATCCCGACTCCGCGTTCTTACGCGGAGGCCGTAGAGGGTCCCTACTCCTCTTAGTGGCAGGCAGCTATGGATGCAGAGATGGCTTCCTGGAAGTCCACAGGCACCTACGTTGACGCGGTTCCCCCTCCTGGGGCGAACATCGTCAGTGGCATGTGGATCTTCAGGGTGAAGCGGCCGCCGGGCTCTCCACCTGTCTTCAAGGCACGGTACGTTGCTCGTGGCTTCAGTCAGCGGCAGGGAGTTGACTACTTTCAGACCTTCTCTCCCACCCCGAAGATGACTACTCTTCGGGTGCTGCTGCACATAGCCGCTCAGCGCGACTACGAGCTTCACTCTCTCGACTTCAGCACTGCTTTCTTGCAGGGTAGCCTGCACGAGGAGATCTGGCTTCGCCGTCCACCTGGCTTCACTGGGACTTTCCCTCCTGGCACCCAGTGGAGCCTCCGACGGCCAGTCTACGGTCTCCGCCAGGCACCGCGTGAGTGGCACGACACACTGAGGACTACGCTTGCGGCTCTTGGGTTTGCTCCTTCTACTGCTGACCCGTCGCTGTTTCTTCGCACCGACACTTCCCTGCGGCCGTTCTACATCCTCGTGTACGTCGACGACTTGGTCTTTGCCACAGCGGACACTGCTGGACTCGCCTACGTGAAGTCCGAGCTGCTGAAGAGACACACGTGCACAGACCTGGGTGAACTGCGCAGCTACCTTGGCTTGCAGATCACTCGGGACAGAGCACGCCGCACCATTACCTTGACTCAGTCACACATGGTGCAGCAGGTCCTTCAGCGCTTCGGCTTCACGTACTCCTCGCCTCAGGCCACTCCTCTGCCTACTCGCCACTCACTCTCAGCTCTGCCTTCGGATGAGTCCGTAGAGTCGAGTGGTCCGTATGCAGAGCTTGTTGGCTGCCTCATGTACCTGATGACCTGCACACGACCTGACCTTGCATACCCTCTTAGCATTCTTGCACGCTATGTTGCTCCTGGGAGACACAGACCAGAGCACATGGCTGCAGCAAAGAGGGTATTGCGCTACCTGTGCAGTACGTCGGGCATGGGGCTAGTGCTTGGAGGGCGGAGTCCAGTGGTCCTTACCGGCCACGCGGACGCTTCTTGGGCTGACGACCAGGCTACGCAGCGGTCGTCACAGGGTTACACCTTCAGCCTTGGTTCCAGCTCTGTCTCGTGGCGGTCTAGTCGGTGAGAACAGGGTGGTTTTTTATTCTGTCCAGGGGAACCCAATTGTCGTCGGTGGGTGTACGGTCTTTCCAGCGGATCAGGAACTGGATCTACTCTCACTCCTCGGGGGTCACGAACTCTGTGGCTCAGGATTTTGTCGGGGACAATGATTGGTTCGGTTGGCGGTCGTTCCATGCTGGCTGGGCGATTGCGTGGGAGTTGGCTTGTGGATGGGACGTAGGGGCGAAGCAGGCTAATGTGGAACGAGGGGCTGACGTACCAGTCAGCAGGGAGGAGGAGGTGGGCGGTGACGGGTGGCTGATACGAAATGGCCCACAGTATCGGGGGCGGAGTTTGGATGTGATGGGCAGTCGGAGATTCTGAGTGTCGAGTAAAACTAGGTCGTCGGGCTGGTAAGTGACAGGTCTGCGGTGGCGGTCGGCGTTGCGTTTAGCGATGATGTTCGATTTTTTTATTGCGTCTGCTGCCCTGGTCCGTGCTGCTTGTAGAATTTCAGCGAACTGTTGCGCGCGTGGAACCGGGTTGTCGGGATTCGGGGTCATGGGTACTGTTGGGTCTTGTCCGTAATTCTGATAGAACTGTGACTATTGGGTCGTGGCGGATGGGGCGTTGTTGTATGTGAATTCGATGAGTGGCAGTTGTTGCTCCCACGTGTTTGGATCGTCGCACGAGGCCCTGATGAGTTGCTCCATGGTTTGATTTGTCCGTTCTGTCTGTCCGTCTGTTTCGGGGTGATATGATGAGCTAAACTGTAGTCGCGTGCCGAGCTGCTGCCACAGGTTCCGCCAGAAGTTGCTGGTAAACTTCGTGTCTCTGTCGCTGATGATTGATGTGTGGAAAATAGAACGAGAATGAATGAACTATGAGTGAAGTGAGTACAAATAGCAAAACCCTAATTGGGTTGTACCCCCTATGGTATACCCCACTGTAGCCTACACAACAGTATAAGCTACATATATGTTCTGACACACCCCCATAGGCAAAGTGGGGGAGAACAAGGGGTCACAAGACCAGTCAAGCAAAGCAAAGCAAAGCTCAGGGTGGATCACAAAGTCACCACACAGTCCGAGCACAAGAGCAAGGCCACAAGGCCAGTTCACATGCAGGAGTACACACATATATATATAAAGCTAGACAAGCAAGAGCAGGTATATATATGTGACAGTACAAGTAAAGTCAAGAGGAGAGCAAGTGAGGCAAGACAGGCACAAGACCCAGCTGGGTGCAGAAGCGCTGATGGTCACAAGGCGCGACTGCCTTGGTGAACACATCAGCAGTGTTGGCCTCAGAGGCCACGTACGCAAGCCGCAACTGTCCACGCTGCTGTAGCTCACGAGCAAGGAAGTAGCGAAGAGCAATGTGCTTCGTTCTGTGCTCCAGACGCTGCTCTCGACACAAGGCCAGCATGGCCTTGCTGTCTACGTACAGCACTGGAGGAGAACAAGGCGGCTCTCCAAGGTCAGTCAGCAGGTAGGTGAGCCAGCGAAGCTCCTGTGCAGCCATGGCCCCTGCGTAGATCTCAGCCTCACAACTCGAGCTGAGAACCGAAGACGAGCGAGTAGCCCGCCACGAGATAGAGCCGGAGCCAAGGCTGAAGGTGTAACCCTGTGACGACCGCTGCGTAGCCTGGTCGTCAGCCCAAGAAGCGTCCGCGTGACCTGTAAGTACCACTGGACTCCGCCCTCCAAGCACTAGCCCCATGCCTGACGTACTGCACAGGTAGCGCAATACCCTCTTCGCTGCAGCCATGTGCTCTGGTCGGTGTCTCCCAGGAGCAACATAGCGTGCAAGAATGCTAAGAGGGTATGCAAGGTCAGGTCGTGTGCAGGTCATCAGGTACATGAGGCAGCCAACAAGCTCTGGGTACGGGCCACTCGACTCTACGGACTCATCCGAAGGCAGAGCTGAGAGCGAGTGACGAGTAGACAGAGGAGTGGCCTGAGGCGAGGAGTACGTGAAGCCGAAGCGCTGAAGGACCTGCTGCACCATGTGTGACTGAGTCAAGGTAATGGTGCGGCGTGCTCTGTCCCGAGTGATCTGCAAGCCAAGGTAGCTGCGCAGTTCACCCAGGTCAGTGCACGTGTGTCTCTTCAGCAGCTCGGACTTCACGTAGGCGAGTCCAGCAGTGTCCGCTGTGGCAAAGACCAAGTCGTCGACGTACACGAGGATGTAGAACGGCGGCAGTGAAGTGTCGGTGCGCAGAAACAGCGACGGGTCAGCAGTAGAAGGAGCAAACCCAAGGGCCGCAAGCGTAGTCCTCAGTGTGTCGTGCCACTCACGTGGTGCCTGGCGGAGACCGTAGACTGGCCGTCGGAGGCTCCACTGGGTGCTAGGAGGGAAACTCCCGGTGAAGCCAGGTGGACGGCGCAGCCAGATCTCCTCGTGCAGGCTCCCCTGCAAGAAAGCAGTACTGAAGTCGAGAGAGTGAAGCTCGTAATCGCGCTGAGCGGCTATGTGCAGCAGCACCCAAAGAGTGGTCATCTTCGGGGTGGGAGAGAAGGTCTGAAAGTAGTCAACTCCCTGCCGCTGACTGAAGCCACGAGCGACGTACCGCGCCTTGAAGACAGGTGGAGAGCCCGGCGGCCGCTTCACCCTGAAGATCCACATGCCACTGACGATGTTCGCCCCAGGAGGGGGAACCGCGTCAACGTAGGTGCCTGTGGACTTCCAGGAAGCCATCTCTGCATCCATAGCTGCCTGCCACTGAGAGGAGTAGGGACCCTCTACGGCCTCCGCGTAAGAGCGCGGAGTCGGGATGTCTAGTGCATCCGGGTCTCCCTCAGGAGCAAGCAGTACAGACGCGAGATGAGGTGAAGCAGCAGCCAGACACTGGAACTCCTCCTGCCTGTCCTCTAGGACGTCCGTGCCAAGAGCACACTCACCCCCGACGGACGGAGGACAGACAGACGCAGACTCAGCAACAAGACTAGCAGCGTAGTCTAGACGACAGCGAGCACCAAAGTCGACGAGCTCAGTGACAAGAGCAGACGCAGCAGCAGACTCAAAAGAGAGGTCAGTGACGACAGTAGCAAGCAGACGCGTGACAGTAGGACTGGCAGCACGAAGGGAGTCCGACTCTGGGTCGGTAAGCACAGGAAGGGAGGACTCAGGAGGAGAAGGCAAAAGGGCACGCAGAGGAGCAGTGGACGGACGCAGAGACATCCGGTGCGTGCCAGGGACAGGAGGAGGACGCGGACGCGAACCACGACCACTAGATCGGGCAGCACGAACAGGCGACGCGGGACGAGATGCAGGCTCACGACGCTCAGCAAGACCTTCAGTAGGACCAGTGTAAGGAGAGGGAGCAGGCAGTGGGGAGGTAGGCTCCAACAGTGACTGCGACTGGACAGGCTGTGGACACTCTACCGGAGGAGAAAGACCAAGAACCTGCTGCAGAAGCGGAACGAAGTACGGCCGAGGCCGCGCGGCAGCTCCAGACTCAGCAGGGACAGCACCAGCACCCTCAGCGGCAGCACCAGCGCCACCAACACCTCCAGCGGCAGGACCTCCAGCAGCACCAGCAGCAGAACCACCGTCAGGACAGACAGCAGCAGACTCAGCACCAACGCCCTCAGCAGCCCAGCTCTAGTAGGACCCGCAGGCGTAGCACCTCCGGGACCGGCGGCACCAGTACCCTCGACGGTCGAAGAAGCTCCAGCTCCAGCAGTTCGCCTCCAGCGACGAGCAAACCACTCGCGCAGCTCCTGTGGAGAGAGGGGCACCCGCCGAGACGCAGCACCAGGAGAAACCCCAGGCTCAGCGGCTCCAGACGTAGCACCCCCAGGCTCAGCAGCTCTAGACTCAGCACCCCCAGGCTCAGCAGTTTCAGACTCAGCACCCCCAGGCTCAGCAGCTCCAGCTCCAGTAGGACCCGCAGGCCCAGCACCTCCGGGACCGGCAGCACCAGCACACTCAGCAGTCGAAGGAGCTCCAGCTCCAGCAGCACGCCTCCAGCGGCGAGCAAACCACTCGCGCAGCTCCTGTGGAGAGAGCGGCTCCCGCCGAGACGGAGCAACCGGAGAGCCCCCAGGTCCAGCAGTCGCAGGCTCCGCACCTCCAGGCTCAGCACCCCCAGGCTCAGCAGCTCCTGACGTAGCACCTCCCGGCTCAGCACCCCCAGCAGCGGCACCCCCAAGCTCAGCACCCCCCGGCCTCGCACCCCCAGGCTCAGCACCCCCAGCAGCAGCACCCCCAAGCTCAGCACCCGCAGGCGTAGCACCCCCAGACTCTGCACCCGCAGCAGGACCAGACTCAGCAGCAACCTCGAATGGCTCGACTGTGTCTACCTGGGACACACCTGAAGGGGCAGGAACCTGAGGGGGGAGGGGGTCTACCGGGGGGGGAACTGGCACCAGGAAGTCCGATGGGGGGGGGAGGGAAGGAGTACGGTAGGGGAAGAGGCGGTAGAAGGGGACTGACTCGTCGAACGTGACGTCCTGGGAGGACAGAACACGACGAGAGGAGGGGTGGTAGAACTGCCACCCTGGAGCGTCAGGGGGGAAGCCAAGGAAGACACAGGGAGCAGCACGGGGGGACAGCTTGTCCGCAGACAAGTCGCGGACAAACGCCCGAGATCCCCAGACACGGAACGCAGACGCATCGCCGACCTTCCCCGTCCACAGTAACACTGGGGACATATCGGGCCGAGAGACCCTGGGGTGAAGGTTGAGCTGATGCGCCGCGTACCGAACCGCAAACGGCCACAGAAAATGGGGGGCAGCCGCATGCATCATGGACGTACGAGCGACATCTATGACCATGCCAATGCGGCGCTCAGCAATCCCATTTTGCTGTGGAGAGTCCGGAAGCGTAAAGGTCTGGCGGATCCCCTGTGCACGACAGTAGTCTCGCAGAAGGCGAGAGGAGAACTCCCCACCTCGGTCAGAGTGCAGACGTAGAACAGGAAAGTCCGAGCCGAAGCTCCTCCTGAGCTGGAGACGAGCCTCGCGGATCGAGTCGATTAGCACCTCAGTGACAGCACCCTTGCTGCGCAAGGGGAAGACT